TATGTGTCCAAGATTTATAAAGAAGAACAATACCTTCCACAATTGCATTGGAAGTATCTTCCTCCTATTGGGTCAAAGAAAAAATTCTTCCTTGATTGGCATCAGTTGGTGCTATAGCTGCTAAAGATTTTTGTTGTGGTGGCTTCTGTAGTGATGGCTTATTTGTATTTGTCTGTCCTGCCGTCTGGGTATTCTTTTGGGTTGGAAAGACTAAACAATGGTTCTGAATATGCCCAAGACCTCCACAAGCAAAGCAGGCTCATGGGTTCACTCCTACTTTCTCCAATAAGCTCCCCGAGCTGTTAGAAGTCTCTGTCCAACCATCTGGTCTAGGCTATAGTATGGTGTCGCCCTCTACACTCCACTACTACTAGCACTAGTCCTACTCGGACCTCCCCTCGTTAAGTTCTATTGTCGCTGGTTATCCTCTGTGTCTTCCTCCACCAGTGCAGCTCTGTCAACTAGATCCCTATAATCCTGGATCTTGTGAGCCATAAGCTTCTCCATGATGACAAACCTCAAGCCTTGCACATCAAACTTTCTCTCATACTCTGCCACCGGTATGCTACCCTGTCTTAGAACTAGAAAATCTGCACTTATTTTGTCCTTGACCGATTCAGGAAAATACTTGCCTTGGAAGATCTGATCAAAATCCTCCCAGGTCATAGCATCAGTGTTCCTCATGTTTTTCACCGAGTCCCACTAATGATCTGCCTCCCTCCCTTTCTAGCAAATATGTAGCTAGGCCGACTCGCAGATCCTCTGCAACTCCCATGCTATCACATATTTTTTTCACCCTACGAATCCATTTATCTACATCTAAAGGGTGAGGGCTTCCTTGAGAAATAAGGTGGGTGTTGCGTTAAAAATTCTCTAAGAACTATCATCCTTCTATTCTGGTCCCTGTTGCCTAGTGCAGGAGCTAATGGTTGGACTCCCCCGTTATGGTTGTTATTTCCATTTTGGTGTTGTACCAGAGTGGTTAATTCTCTTAGGCATTGATAAATGTCATTCATGGCATCTGGAGGTGGCGGTGGTGGTGGGTTTGCTTGACCTCCACATCCACCGTCCATTCTACACATCAAGTTACAGTTTAATTTTCTTAATGTTCTAGAAACCCTAACTATCACTTTAATCCAAAACATACAACTTGTATAAGATTTAAGTCAACAATTTCATTCAACCTAATCTTACCTCTCTAGTGATAATTCATAACCTACAGCTCTCATGTAAGACCTAATTTCTAGGCTCCAATACCAAACCTGTAACGCCTCAAAATTCACCTTGGAAGGCATTACTATCTATAAATATTCATATCATGAGAGCAACCCACAAAATTCACAAATAAACAAAATTTTATTCATCATCCATAATAACTAAAGCATCATCCAAAATAAATATGCCCAAAGCATGGCAATTACATCCAAAAATCAAATATTATCTTGCAGTGGAATAAATAAAATATTATTCATAACGTTGTCTCATAATCAGTTGGCCAATTTAGAAAATAATGGAAACAACTCTAAACTTCCTTCTTGGGATCCACATTCCCATCAATCTAAGCTTACCAATTCAATTGCTCATCCAATCCGAGCTCTTTCTCTGGATCGTAATTTGAAAAAGATGTTGTTTATAGGGGGTGAGCACTAAGCTCTGCAGAAAATTCTCCCAAGCTCGAAAAAGGTTTTGAAACATATAAAATAGATCAGTCTCATTTTATCTCTTGACATAAAACAATGACATTTTATCAAATTTCAAGTCTATGTAGTAAAAATAAATTAAATGAAGAAACAAAACCAACTTTCAAATAATAAACAACTATCAACATTGTATCTCGAGAATGTAGTAAGACTTATCATGAATAAACACATTGAGAATATTCTGGTCCACACACTCACACACACACACACTCAATCCTCGTAAGAATACATAACTTTAGGAATAATATATACCAATGTATTGGCAGTGATGAATTCAACCCAGGAATAGTATACTAACCCTTAGCCTTGATACCCGTGAATAAATAGTGGTTAGGTTCTCGCAAGGCACCAACCCCACTACGAGTGGTAGGAAACCTTCAAACTCACTCAGAGTAAAAAATGCATCTACTCGCTCTACGATACCCGATCAACAGTCACTCATATTCATCAAAACATCCACACAAGAGATACAATATCAAACCAATTCACCAAATCACATTTAACCAAGAACCATAATTTCAAAGGTATTTTTTCCACACAACAACTCAAGAAATATAATTTTATTGTTCCAACAAAACACTAGAGTTGTTAAATCAAGAACAATAGAATATCAAGATTAAAATCTATATTTCTTAAAAATTAGGGTTTTTATAACAAGAAAGAGAATCTTTATGACTATCAAATGATAACTTTATTCAAGACATAATAGGATTTGCAAGAAAACAAAGAAATAATGATTTTATAACATATATATGATTTAGAATCAAAACATACATATATATAAACAGTAACCTCAATGAACAAGTTTAGGAATAAACCCCTATCTTGATTTTGTAGTGTTTGTGTGAAAACCTAGCATGTTTAATATGTTCTAACGTGAAAATCCCCCTTAATCTCATGTTTCTCCTCTTCTTTCTTACTCTCCAAGAATCTCTAGGATTAGAATTGATGAAATAGGCCAAGGGAAGACATCCTTGGGTATTTATAGTTTTAGAAAATAGTCCAATTGGCACAAATGTGATACTCAGAATCGCGATCTCACGTTCGAACTAAAGGTTGATGTTTGAACTATCTACCTGACATTCAAACGTCATTTTTGGCGTTCAAACGTTGCTTGCTCCCAGTTCTTTTACTTTTTCATCAGAGTTCTGTCAGACACAAAACTACTGGGACTAACTGTAGTTCAAACGAATCCATTCACGTTTGAACGAACTCCCAATTTTTAGCTAAACTTCCAATGAAGTTTTGGCCTATTTAGAGGTTGATTTGAAAAATTTTAGTGAAATACTCTTTTATAGCCCTAGAAATCTAGTGTTTACTATAAAAATTGCAGATCCAATGGATATCAGGATAAAAAGTTATGGTCCATATAATAAAGAGGTCACAAATTTCTTCCTACCTGAATTCTATCTAAAATGTACTTTAACTCTGAAATACTTCCTCACTAATACTTCATACCCTATTATCACACCTAACATTTTTATTTCTACTGTTACAATCTATATAGTTCATGCTTACATCATTAAATATAAGAGCATGTCAAAATAATTACATTACTATATAAAGATAAGAAAGTGGAATTTTCACTAACAACTAATTAAACTAATCTGCAATTAGGGTATTTTCTAAATCAGCAGTGGGTTGGTGGTGGCGACAAATGGAGGGCTGGTGAAAAAGAAGGCTCTGATGCCGCTGGCAAAGGATGGACAACAGTGTTTGGCTCTGATGTCACTTACTATAGGTGGGCAGTGGCACAAAGGGAAAAGGACAGTGACCAAATGGAAAGAATAAAAAGAGAGAGAGAGACAGAGAGAGAGAGAGAGAGAGAGAGAGAGAAATATGTGCCTAGGTGGCAACGTTGGCTAGCTGTGGCTCTGCTAGTGGCAGATGAGCAATAGCATAAAGAGAAGAAATTGAACCAATAAAGGAATCAAATCCATTGAATATAAAACCTAGTTTAGCCACTGAAGAGTCAATTATAATACTCCAAATCATAGAGATAGAGAGAGGGAGGAAGAAAATGAGGTTAAGTGAACATTTCATTAAACAAGTGTGGAAAGGGAGAAAAGGGTGGAGACAATGGTTAGATTGGGGTTTGAATATAGCAGTGACGGAGGAGAGAAAAGGGGTGGACATAATGGTTGGCCAGGGGTTTGGAAGCGAACAGTGGGATATGGTGGGTGGGGTTTGGAGGTAGTGGAACTGTGTGTTGGCAGGGTGTAAGTGTGTGTGTGTGTGAGAGAGAGAGAGACGTATTGTGTGGTGTTTGAAGGCGAACAGTGGTGGGTGGGGTTTGGAAGCAGTGGCTCTATGGTGTTGGCAGGGTATGGGTTCATGTGAGAGAGAGAGGAAGAGAAAGGAAGAGACACAGGCATATATGAGAGTGATATAGAGAAAGAATGATGCATATATGAGACAGCCTAGGTTAGATATGTGTGAGAGATGGTAGTTTAGAGTTAGACATGAAATGAAACTCTTAGTCCAATTTAGGGAGTAATTAGGACCGTCGGATCAATAATCGTCAAACAATCTGAGCCGCGAAAAGTTTAAGACAAACTGTTCTAGCTTTTTTATTATAAAGATTAGTTAAAATTTAGTTTAATGGATATTACAAGGATGGTCTATTCTTCAAATTTTAGTTAATTTCCTTACACCTACCTTTCTTATTTCCTAGTTAGAGCTTCTACATCAGTTAGCTATATTTTGATCTACCATAACATGATGTAGTCTTTCTTCATCTAGGTTAATTCACATAAGTTGAAGAGGACAAAATCTAAAAGTCTCATTCCTAGTGGTGGGATAGCCACGCCAATCCCAAAAACTCAAAGTGGCTTCAAGAAAATCTAGAAGGTGAGTGAGTAATATGACAACTTTTTCTGCTGAGGCTTTCAAAGGATGATTAGTTCTCACTTTACATTTCATGTATGCGAGCAATAGAAAGTAGAAACTACCAGTGGATCTGAACTTCTAAAGTTTATAAATACAAACGAGTCAACATTATTTTTGTACTAAACAACTCAACTACACTACGTCAGGCGGATGGTTTTTGGGGTTAGGACCATCACATTGATGGATGTCTGAATTGATTCACCCTATGCCCTTGTAGCNATGAGCAATAGCATAAAGAGAAGAAATTGAACCAATAAAGGAATCAAATCCATTGAATATAAAACATAGTTTAGCCACTGAAGAGTCAATTATAATACTCCAAATCATAGAGATAGAGAGAGGGAGGAAGAAAATGAGGTTAAGTGAACATTTCATTAAACAAGTGTGGAAAGGGAGAAAAGGGTGGAGACAATGGTTAGATTGGGGTTTGAATATAGCAGTGACGGAGGAGAGAAAAGGGGTGGACATAATGGTTGGCCAGGGGTTTGGAAGCGAACAGTGGGATATGGTGGGTGGGGTTTGGAGGTAGTGGAACTGTGTGTTGGCAAGGTGTAAGTGTGTGTGTGTGTGAGAGAGAGAGAGACGTATTGTGTGGTGTTTGAAGGCGAACAGTGGTGGGTGGGGTTTGGAAGCAGTGGCTCTATGGTGTTGGCAGGGTATGGGTTCATGTGAGAGAGAGAGGAAGAGAAAGGAAGAGACACAGGCATATATGAGAGTGATATAGAGAAAGAATGATGCATATATGAGACAGCCTAGGTTAGATATGTGTGAGAGATGGTAGTTTAGAGTTAGACATGAAATGAAACTCTTAGTCCAATTTAGGGAGTAATTAGGACCGTCGGATCAATAATCGTCAAACAATCTGAGCCGCGAAAAGTTTAAGACAAACTGTTCTAGCTTTTTTATTATAAAGATTAGTTAAAATTTAGTTTAATGGATATTACAAGGATGGTCTATTCTTCAAATTTTAGTTAATTTCCTTACACCTACCTTTCTTATTTCCTAGTTAGAGCTTCTACATCAGTTAGCTATATTTTGATCTACCATAACATGATGTAGTCTTTCTTCATCTAGGTTAATTCACATAAGTTGAAGAGGACAAAATCTAAAAGTCTCATTCCTGGTGGTGGGATAGCCACTCCAATCCCAAAAACTCAAAGTGGCTTCAAGAAAATCTAGAAGGTGAGTGAGTAATATGACAACTTTTTCTGCTGAGGCTTTCAAAGGATGATTAGTTCTCACTTTACATTTCATGTATGCGAGCAATAGAAAGTAGAAACTACCAGTGGATCTGAACTTCTAAAGTTTATAAATACAAACGAGTCAACATTATTTTTGTACTAAACAACTCAACTACACTACGTCAGGCGGATGGTTTTTGGGGTTAGGACCATCACATTGATGGATGTCTGAATTGATTCACCCTATGCCCTTGTAGCATGTGGACTAATTGTACTATCTTGTATTGATCAGTGGGTTTTCAATAAGAAGCCATCAACAAAATACAATTCGCATTTTTTAAGTACTAAGTTGAATCCGCAGGGAACTACTGTTAGTGTTTTGAAGTAATTAGTGACAGAGACCAAAGTGACTTAAACTTTTGAAATTTGAAGTTATGATGATTATAGAGTTTCTTGGACAAAATATAAGATTCTCTCAAATGAAAGAGTCACCCTTTAGCTTGAGAATTTGGACATGTAGTCAATCACCCGTTTGTTATATTTGTGCTTGACAGCTCAATTAACCCCTATGTCAATAGCAAGTTAATTAGAGGATAAAGATGGACTGTGAGAATTAAGAGCATGGCTTCGATGTATTTGTAGAGATTTACAAGAATTGTCAATGTTGGGAATCAACCCGTCTACAAACAAGCAAGTAATTCTACAAATCATTCAACAAATGTTATATTATTCCATTCTTAGTTAGAGCACAATAATAATGAAGACTAAAAAGTTATCATGAAGACCTAACTTGAGTACTTGCAAAGAACCAATGAATCCTCCTGCGTCAAGAGTTAACTTGTCTTAGGAAAGACTCGTGATTGTAAAAAATACCTTAGCTTTGCTAGATGCATTCAATCATTCAATAAGCAATCAAAAGATAAAACGTGATGCATAAATGAAATGCACAAATATAACTTCTAAATGATTTATACATGTCTATCACTTTTTACTAAAGAGTAAATGAGACACTACTCACTCTTCATGGCTTTGAGAAAGCTAAAAAATTGAGTGAACCTCATCCCTTCAAGTAGGGAAATTACAAGATAACGTACACTACACAATAAGCCTATATTCGAAAAAGAATGAGTGAAACACTACCCACCTTTCAAGCTACAAGAGAACTAGAAATATGAGAGAAGTTAACTCCTCTAGGTGAAGAAAGAAGTTTTTACAGTGGAAGCTAATGAAACTAATAATGAAGTAGAAGAAAGCTAGTTACTTTTGGAGAGGGATTTTTCACTTCCAAAAGATGATCCTTAACAAGTTCCAAGGGAAAGTATTTATAGGCAATAAAGGGGGTAAAAGGAAAGACCTAAGTGCTTAAAGTCCAAGTGAATGCCACAAAATCCGGATGGAAATCTAATCTTCCTACAGCCTGTCTGGGGTTTACGTTCAAACGCTAACAACATTCGAACATGAAAGCATTTCTTATTTGATGAGCATTCGATCAATATTGGAGTTTGAACGTGGTACTCATGTAGCTTTTGTCCTCCACAGTATCTAGCTGCAACAAGCCTCGTGCTATCACCCTAGCAATCTCCTAGAGGTCCTCAATTATTTCAAAATGGAGTTCGAACATGGGTGTTTTGTTCCCTCTTTCTTCCATTCTCTTATAGAACATGTGTGTGTTGCTTGAAAGTTTGATGTTGTTGACTTTAGGCCCTTGTACAACTTTTCCCTTGAAATGTTATCATTTAAATTCCATCAAAGCATAATTAATCTTATAAAACTAGCAAGATGTTAATTTTAACTATGCATCAGGTAACTTAAAAGAATGGTATCTACATTACCAATCTTTAGAGGAGGAACTCAGAAGAGTAAAGGCTGGAAAATTGGAGATGGAAACACTACTTGGACCTAAAATTGAGTAGTTGAAGGCTAGCATTGCCAAGAGAGGTGATCAAAGTTAAACAAAAGCCTAGATGCGCTTGAATTGAAATATGACATGTTGATTACAGAGAGAGATAAGCTTCGTGCAGAGAAGAGTTCTAACGATGATAAGATTGATCAAATGAACAAGCATTTGCATCAATTACATATAGAACATGTTGAATTGATAGTTGTAGCCAAAGTGGCACATAGAGTGGTCGAGGAGTTGAGAACAAGAGTCAAAGAACCGGAAGAGGAGATTAAGAGGCAAAGAGGATTGATTTTGGAATTCGTAGAAGAGAAACGAGATGCAATAAAACAACTTTGTTTCTCGCTTGAGCATTACAAGAATGGCTATTGATGATGCACAAAGCCCCAGTTGAGGCGCTTAGGTGAGGGTTAAGCTACTAATTTATAAGTACAAAGCCTTAGTTGAGGCAGTTACGTGAGAGTCAAGCTACTAATTTATCGGGGATGATAGCTACAATAACAAATAGACAACATCTTGAAGTAATAGCTATCCCGAAGATTGTTCCCCCTCATGCGTTGACTGTTCCTGCATTCTTGACCTTTGACTGAATAGAAGCCATGATCTAAGCTTGGCATGCCTTTTGATGATTTGGGTTCAATCTACTAACTAGGACTCGGCCTAGTTTGGATCTGGGCTCATCATTTTCCCCCATGCCCTAAGCCCTAGTAGTAGTCTAGGGGTTGACGGCATGAGTAAGCTCCCCAATTTGGGTACACTAAGATATCTTGTTCCACACGATAGCTTCTCTTTAGTTTTCCTTTCCATTTCATTGTGAAAATTTATTTCTCCATTGGGTAGTGCCATTGTTAGACACCCACTGTGCTAGCAAATAAATTTATATGTTGGATCTCTCATTGGATTTGAAAAGCTCCATTCTTTTGCATTAGAAACCTCTTTTTTCTTTTATGGTAGCAAGCTTAGGGTTTTAGAGGGTTTTAAATAGACCCAAGAGTGAGCTACCCATATTCGTTCATTTCTTTCAATCAAAACCCTTCTTTAGAGCTAAGGAAGTGTCATTTTCTTTCTCCCTTCCACAAGCAGTAGAGAGAGGATGAAGAGAGGCATGGGTGCTTTAGCTTGAGGAGATGGAGGTGTTTTAGCCACTGGTGCCTTGAAAAGAGAGAGGCATGGGCGACTCCATGGAGAAAGACTTGAGTGATGTGAGCTAGGCAGTGCCAGGGGAGTCAACGCTGGAGGGTTGGACGACGATAGGGGCGACGCCAAGCTAGGTACACCAAGGTGACGCCAGAGGACTGGGCAGCGGCCAGGGGGTCGACACTATGGAAGACGGTGCCATAGACGGCCTAGGCCTCGCCCAGGGAAAGAGAGAGAGAAAGAGACCCCCTTCGCTAAAATAAGCCTATTCTGTTCATCCTTTCATTTTTTTGGTACCTTTATCTGATTTTGATAGGCAACCAGTCTGTTGAAGGTAGTGACATTCTTTTTCTTCCTTCCACAAGTAGTAGAAAGAGGATGAAGAGAGGCATGGACACTTCTGTGTAAGGAGATAGAGGTGCATTGGCAAGTGGTGCCTTGGAAAGGGAGAGAAGCCTAGGAGGTGCCATGAAAAGGGACCTGGGCGACGCCAAGGGCGATGCAAGCTGGGCGGTGCCAAGGGAGTCGGCATTGAAGGGCTAGGTGAACCTGTGGGCGGCGCCAGGGTGACTTCGGAGGGCTGGGCGTCACCCGGGGGGGTCAACGCCATGGAGGGCCTAAGCCTCACCAGGGAGAAAGAGAGAGAGAGAGAGAGGACGCCCTTCACTCAGGTAAGGCCATTTTGTTCATCCTTTAATTTTTTTGGTACTTTTATCTGATTTTGATAAGCTACTAGTCTGTTGAGGTTATCACGATGGATTCTACACAAACTTCACAGCGAGGCAAGGGAGCTAATGGCCGTGATGGCTCGGAGATACCCTCCATTTTTAGCTCCATTGATAATGGTGATGACATTATTAGGATCGTATATTCGTTTCATATTCCTCCTGTTATTTTGTGTCGCCAAGCCAAGAGGGATGAGTCAGCGTGGTATAATTCCTATGGAGAGAGAGTTTTTTTATGAGGTTGTCTTGGAGTTATGGTTAAGGTTTCCCATACAGAGACCCATTTTCCAAATTTTAGCTCACTTCTCGTTTGCACTGGGGAGGATGACTCTAAATGGTTGAAGGGTGCTTTGCAATGGTATCCTTCTTTTTTGTGCAACCTTGTCTTCTGTATGTTTTGGTCATACTGACATTCTTACTTTTGGATATTCGTAGATGGATGCGTCTTTTCCATACCTTTTTTATAAGACACTCAATCTCGATAAGGTGTTGATAGCTTTGGTGCAAAAAAGCTGAGGAGCAATTGAGGTTGGCTTATGAGAGAGCAGCACCTCTTGAGGCCGAGCTTTTGAGAGACTGAGGTTGCTTGCATAAGAGCAAGGGAAAAGTTAGGCTAAGCTTCCAGCAACTCGGGAAAGAGCCGCTAAGTTGGAGACTGGGGCTGCTTACGTGAGAATGGAGGCAGAGTGAGGCTAAGCTTCTGGCAACTCGCAAGAGAGCCGCTAAGTTAGAGACTAAGGCTGCTTGTGTGAGAGCAGAGGCAGAGTTAGGCCAAACTTTTGGCGATTCGGGAGAAAGACATTAATTTGGAGACTGAGGTTGCTTGTGTGAGAGTAGAGGCAGAGTAAGGTTGAGCTTTTGGCGACTCGCAAGAGAGCCGCTAAGTTGGAGACTAAGGCTGCTTGCATGAGAGTAGAGGCAGAGTTAGGCCGAACTTTTGGCGACTCGGGAGAAATCCATTAAATTGGAGACTAATGCTACTTGCATAAGAGTAGAGGCAGAGTGAGGCCGAGCTTTTGGTGACTCACTAGAAAGCCGCTAAGTTGGAGAGTAAGGCTATTTGCATAAGGGAAGAGGTAGAGTTTGGCCGAGCTTTTGGCGACTTGGGAGGCTCTATCCCAAGAGATAGAGAGAAGAAAGGAGATGATACTGAGGGTCGCCAAAGGGCATACACGAGATAGAGACAACAAAGCATGAGAGTCAGGCACGAGAGGCATGGGCACCAGATTTGCCAAAAGGGGGTGATGTCGGCCGCCAAGGGCACATGGTGTTGCGGGACGAGTAGGGCACACGTTGTAAGCGTGGATGCTCGATGCAAGTGAGGTCGGTGTCACGACAAGGTGGGAAAGGCAGGTGCCAAAGGGGGGCAACGAGGCGCACTAGCTGGCAAGCGAGCATAGGCACTGGGTGCACAGGCGCACGAGCTAGAACGTTGACGATAGGCGCGCCGGCGAGGGCGCTAGATGTCGCGAGCAAGGGCAAGATCGTCGTGGGCGCTACGGGAGGACATTGGGCACCGCGGGCAACATTGTTGGGTGTTGGTTGTTGGCGTGGGGCGCTGGGCACCTTGTTGATGGTTGGTGCTGGCATTGGTGGAGTATTAGCCATAACTTTGCACTCAGTTGTCCGTTTGAAGTTACTTCTTTTTTTAAATCTGGATATTTTTTTCAAAATTTACCATAATCAAACTGCCCACAACGGTTTAGGCACCGAATTTTCCTAAAAAATATTTTTTTTTCACTGAATTTGAATTTCAACCACAAATTAGTGAAAAAGGAAAAATTTTACGTGTCTACTTTTTGTTTTCCCTTGTACGTGAGGACTCAGCGCGCCTAGCTTTAGCGACATCCTCAGTGTTCATGTATTTCTAGACTTTTGACAGTAATTCTAGCATGTTCTTTGGCGGACACTTCAAGACTAAAAACATAAGAATGGATGAGTGTAGGCCTTCTATTAAGGCCACCACAACAACTTTGCCATCTGGTTCTTCAATCTGGAGGACTTCCTTGTTAAAATGAGTAAGGTAACTCCTTAGACTTTCATCCCGGTCCTGCTTGATATTGAGCAGATGGGTGACAGACTTCTAGTGTTGGCGTCCCCCATTGAAGTGTAAGACGAAGCACTTGCTTATTTCAGAAAAGGAGTAAATAGAAGTCGGGGTGAGCTTGGCAAACCACTGGTGAGCAGATCCCTTAAGAGTGGTAGGGAAAGCCCTGCACATGATCTCACCCGAAATATTGTGCAATTGCATCAAGGATTGGTAGGTGTCGAGGTGGTCTAGTGGGTCTTGGAGCCATTAAAAGATTCAACGGTGGGCATCTTGAATTTTGGGGGAAGAGTGTGGTTGACCACATCAGGCACAAAGGGTGTGTCGGTGCACCTCATAAGGTAGTCAACCATTTTAGGCCCTCACATTTTCGTAGCGTTGTAAACGTTACCAAGTTGTTTTTGTACCTCCTTGATTTTCTCGTCCCAATAGTTGGGGATATCATGAGTGGGTTGTTCATGTAGCTTTTGTGATCCCCATGCCAATTTTCCCCCTTGTCCTCTTGGGAATAAGGGTTTCCAGCATGGGAGGAGGGAGCAAGACTACGAAACGGGGGTAGCAAGAGGCCCTTGGCGCCATAGGTGAGGCACCTGGGGCGCCCTACCTCCTTCCTAATGTTGGGAGGCGGCTCTCTAACAACTCCCATCAAGCATTAGTATAAGGTCTGTTGGTTCTGGTTAAGTAGCTATTGCATGGTCTCCAACAATTTTTGGGATTTAGGGACGGGGTTTGCCCGTGGTGGCAAGACCTCATTGTGATGTGGCAGGTCATCTTCCGCTTGGTGATTCATTGACCTAGTTGTAATAGCCATAGAAGAGAAAAATATAGACAAATAAAAAGTATTAGAAAATTTAGTCGTTTCCACAGACAGCGTCAAACTGATGATGCACAAAATTAATTATACACGATCAAATTGGTTGTGTGTGTGGTGTAAAGCAATTAATAATAAGAGATAAAAATTAGGTGGTTAACTCTGGGTGACCTAACCTGTGAAGGCGACAATGGTGGCCGAAAAGCTCTATTAATGAGAGAGTACAAGGTAGTAAGAGAGAGAGAGAGAGAGAGAAAGAACAAGAGTATGCTCAATGTGAGATGTGTGTATGTGTTTTGCTTCCATGTGTAAAAGGGTTTACAATTTATAGGCGCAGAATCCTAGTTGAGACAGTGACGTGAGGGTTAAGCTCATATTCTGAAGTAATAGCTATCCCAAAGATTGTTGCCCCTCATGCGTTAAATCTTTCTGCATTCTTGAGTTTTGACTAAACTGAAGTTATGAGCTAAGCTTTGCCTACTTTTGATAATTTGGGCTCAATCTACAAACTAGGCCGAGACCTAATTTAGATATGACCTCGTCAGGTATCATCAGCTCCGACAGGCATTTACAGGGTACAAGCAACTACTGGTTATGGCATCCTAAATTATCATGTGATGTCGAATAATGCCCTCTTCTCTTCTACAGCGATCATCAATCTTCTACATTTGTTTCCAAATCTTCCTTCGAGTGTTTTGGGGATTTCTTCTTCCGAGTCTGTGCTCTTTTTGGCCTTCTGGTTCCTTTTGTTTCTGTAGGTGCAGCACTTGGACCAAAATATTGTGTCCATCGCCTTTTTTTCTTTTTAAATGAACTGCCTAAAAAATTGTTTGTTGAATTGATTAGAGAATGATGAGAGATTGAAATACATCGATTGTCCACTGACTCCACTCTGATGTGTCTTCACATTACACCATGCATATCCACTCCTTGGTGCCTGCAAATTTATGGGCTAAAACTTCATGTGGCTAATCAGTAGATGGGAAAAAAAATAGAAACGCGCCAGGTAGGGGTCGAACCTACGACTTTCTGCTTAGGAAACAGACGCTCTATCCACTGAGCTACAGGCGCTTATTGACACTTTGACTACAAATGAAAGATTATGAATGGACAGCCTAAGCACAACTGCTCACCAAGTGTAACTAAGGCTGTTAATCGATCTGAATTTTATGAGTTTGAGCTTTGGCCTGGGCATATCAAACTCATTTTTTTAAATGAATTTGAAAAATTGTTTAAATTTTACTTCTTTAGACAATGAGTCAAGACGAACGTTGTAAAAAATTGTTTAAGCACAATTTGTTTTTAACACAAATTGAACTCAAGTCAAGTCCTAATCGAACTAAGACTAAATAATTCAACTCAATTACCAGTCTTTAAGTGTAGCTTGTAAAACAACTCCTTACAAAAATAGAAACAAAGGAGTAGGACTCATCGAATTGAGGATGGGAAATACCACATTTGAGACGAGTAATCGACAAAACTCATGCAGCTGGTCAATCCCTATTCAAATTTGAATTCATAGTCAAATTTGAATAAAAAAAAATCACCATGATGGAGTTGTCTATGTTTTGAAGGTAGGTCACTAGTTCCAAATAGGGGTAACGAAGACAAAAAATCCAGGGCAAAGTTTGGATGGCATGGATTAAGCATCTGAGCCTGAACATTCGAGCTAAGTTACTTAATAAGGTGGGGGTGATCTTGATCAAGATCCATCCATGCAATGCAATTTAGGCAACAACATGAAATATCCAACGAGTCCGAGGTGTCCATTTAACTATGAGAAATGTTATATAAATTTTATTTAGGGATTTTATTTGGTAATTTTATTATTCCATGCCACTAGATTGGTTGTGAACTCCACTAATAATTGGAATTCATTGTCAAGTCAATAACTGTGATCCATCATATCACAAAATAAAATTATTAAATTAGGTATAAATAGCAATTTCTTTTAATTATTCCGAAGCTACAACATGCAACAAGATCTGTTCTAACTTTGTGTTTCATTTTCCAACACCAAAAATAGGGAGAATTTCAGTCACACTCATTCTAGTTTATTGTATCTTCAAGTACATTTTTTTTATTATCTAAATATCATTAACATCCCTTATAGTTTATATTGAAACATTACTTACACTTTTTGCTAGGCCTGACAATTCTAAACACGACCCGTGAAATCAATACGAACCCAACACGAATTTAACGGGTTTGGATGTAATCTTAACGGATTCGAGTAGTTAACAAGTTAACTCGACAGACTAGTGAAATAAATAAACCGGTTTCGTGTTTAACTCATAAACTCGTTTCAACTCATTTAACCCGTTAACAGTAGTACTATAATTTTTTTTTATCAAAAAGTTAAATCTCTCAGCTTCTGTCTCATCTGACACCTTCCATTTCTCATATTCATTTAAATTTAATAGTCATTTAATGTTTATTTTTTATCTTTATTTTTTTACTCTGTCATGATTTATTGTTATAATAAACAGGTCAAACATGTGTAATATATGACGAGGTGATGATTTTTCATGTGAACTCGAAATACTCTAACCTATTTCCTTATTTATCAGGTGACACACGAATTGTATCGAGTAACTCATTTAATAAAGGATTCGTGTATGAGTGTGATAGTTGAACTCGTTTATATAAATGAATGAGGTATGGATAGAGGGGTTTTTTAACATAAACTCGTTTCACCCGACACGAAACCGTTTCATTTGACACGATTGTTAGGCCTACTTCCTGCCATTAAACCACTATTTTTAACCAAAAAAAAACAAAAAATCATCTAAAATATCAAAATTATTCCTACATAAACCTCAAACATTCTTTCTACGTAAAATTCGATTAAAATTCAAGTCAATTAAAATTTATTTTTTTACATATTAAAATTTAAGCCAATTAAAATTATTTTCGAGACAATTAAATTTTATTTTTTTACGTATTAAAATTCGAGCCGATTTGAACTCTACCTGAACTGTTAGCGCCAATTAAAATTCATTTTGAGTCGAATAAAATTTATATTTTTTTAATTATTAAAATCCATTTTAATTAAAAGTTGATTCAAAATTATTAAAATTCATTCGTATTAAAATTTGAGAATATTAAAATTTATAATTTTTTTATGTATCAAAATTTGGACCGATCAAAATTCAATGCGAGTTAATCGGCTCAAATAGAAGTTTAATTGCCTCAAATTTTAATATGTAAAAAAATATAATTTTTAATTGATTCAAATTTTAATACATCATGAATTTTAATTAACTCGAATCGAATTTGAATTAACCCAAATTTTAATACGTAAAAAATTTTAAAAAAATATAAGGTTTTTATTGAAGATGTGTCTATCTAGAAGGGGTGTGAATGAATTTTTTTTTAAAATATATTATGGATAATTTAGTAAAATTGCATTCTAATTAACACTTTTAATCTGATTGGGAGTGTCAATGAAGATTCAAAAAATATAGGTGATGTCCTTGAATATATAATAAACAAAAAGAGGTGTCAATGAAATTTTTTCCCAAAAAGAATAATAAAAAAAAATTAAAAAAGCCTAATGGGTCTGCAATCCGCATTAATTTACCAAGTTGCCCATGGTTCTTTGACCATATAATTTTTCGCCAGGTTAAATTGGTTTCATCCTCAGATATATTTAGGGGTGTAACTTGGGTTGGACAACTCGATTTTAAACCAAGCTCAATTCGAAAAAATTAGGGTTTAGGTAAGGATTTTTAATACTTGAGTTGGGCTTGAGTCAAAAAATCTCAACTCAAATTCAATTTGTGTTAGGTTCGGG